TGATAAGAAATCACAATATAATCAGACGCGCATCCTGTATTGGTATTGAGCAAGCCTCATTAGACCATAATTATACAATCAAAGTACCCAAAAAACTTGCCCTGTTAATTATTTATGATCAATTCCACCACCGTTTACAACATCTCACCTCATGAGAAGTGGTCGAAGGTATCGTGCCCTTTCCACAAACATATTGCACGTTCATTTGTTTGCATCAGCTATAACGACGATTGCCATTTTTTAGTAGAAGATGGGCCAGAAAGCTTTTTACTGTATAGCGTTTATTAATTTTGTGCCAATATATTAATGAATGAATTTAGGACTAAACAGCCTTCAATGAAAAATAACAATTTCCATTAAAACCAACACAGTTTCGAATTCATACTGGGCGTTTAGATTACGTGCCTTGGTTGTTCGTTTAGAAACTAATAAATAACCAATTTATCACGAACTGAATAATAATCTTGCAACAAGTCAAATAGATGTAAACCTATAACGCATTCTACCATTTTTTTAAACTCAAATATTTATAAATAATAAACGCTGCTCTCGAAAAAGCAAAACACTGAATCCTCCTAAAATCATAATCACCGCGTGGCGCTTATTGAGATCATTTATACGGTATGTATTTGTATTTCATATTGAAATTAATATTGGATAACAATAAAGTGAGATTAGCTTACAGTGCCAAAGCACGATTCACTTCATTTCCTCCCGTGAAATCGAATGATTCACCATATGCATGTCCTGAATTACGTTGCAAATGGAATGGAAGCATTTTTTGAGAACACAACTAATATCAAACAATTGCTAAAAAAACATGCCTGATTACAGTGAGTATCGTTAGCTTGTCTAGTATGTAATATTTGAATATATATTTTTAATAGCTAACTAGGTTTACCATACTAATTAAGACCTTGTTGACCTTCATGGGAAGGATGGTTCATTAAGAAGTCAGTTTTAAACTTTACACTAGCTGAGCTGGTTCTAATCGTTTTTTCTGCTCCGCGTGGTACGACTTAAATCCTGCAACCCAGTTCAACGCAACATTGATGGTAGTTATAGACTTACGTGTACAGATTGCAAGTTTCGGCCAAAAAGGCAAACGATACCGAAATTGAAGTTAGACCCTCCCTATCAGAAGGTAGGTCATTATTTATTCGAGCCTACTGGGCCTAATAGTTTTTATCCTTAAACAAAGCATTTTTGAAATATTAATTACAAAATTTCTCTCAGTTTCGTCGAGAGCATTATTAAGTGTCAATCATTTGAGAATTTTGATCATGTGATATTGGTTCATGACCCATTATGTAATCATGTCGTTAAAAGGTATCAAGGCTGTTCTATTAGGTCGTCATTTTTATGCCTTAAATTAATAGTGTGGATGTCTATGGAATGTAAAATTCTAGGCCATGCCCTATTTTACGTTTTCGTGAACTTCGAATATCATTCACTATTTCCTTTTTGAACTTAATGTTCATCATAGGCTAGCTACTATATAAGTATATGGTAGACATTTTTTTAGCATTCTACGTTAGGCCTTTAAGATGCCTTATAATCTACGGTTGTTTATGCTGTATTCGGACATCATAACGGAATTCACTCATAATATTTATTGACCAAATAATCTGAACAACATTGACGTAAAACAACGAGCAGCTTATGTGTCTCTAATTATTTAAAGTTGGGAAAATCGAGCAAAACTCAAAGACATACGCATAGTGAACATTGGTTACTTAAAATCGGTGATATATTATGACAGATTTTAGGAGAAACACAATTTTCCATTAGGATTTCTACGTAAATCTGGGGCCTGAGCAGAAGTTTGCAAATAAGATTCGATTTCCGTTTCTATAGCCTCTACTAATCTGATACGTAAGGTGTGATTTAATCTAGGCCACAATTATAACAGGAAACACATCCTCAGTAACTTCACAGTAGGCCTAGGCCTACATTACTATAATTAACATTTACAACGCTGTTTATTATTACGAGGGGGTATTTTCGGGACTTCGTATGTGCACACTGCATCCGGCTACGCTAACAATCCAAATAATTGGTGTGAATTGAACAAATTAAGGAAGAAGTACAGATGCTTTTTTGTAATGGTTCTGAATGAGCTAGGCTTCCATAGTTCCCATCGCCACGCTTTTGTTCACCCATTTTTATAATAGCATGTGTACATGCAGTGTCTAAAAAAACCTAACAATAGACCGGCTCCTTATTTTTGCTTTCCACATTTGTCAAGCTCTTATGGCGTTTTTTTTTTTTTGGAACCTTTCGTTTTAAACTTTAATGGTTCTATTAATACAAAGTCCTTGATTAATAGGACTATTCTTTACTATAATGATTTAAAAGTTTATATCGAAACGAAAGTTCACATAATTTATATTTACTATTATGAGAAAATTAATAAATTTATTCGTTGTTTGTCTGACATGGTCATGTAAAAATTATTGTAATTAATAATCTTAAATTATAACAATATGTATAACTCATATCTATAGGCCTGTATATAATATGGTCACCAAATTCATGGCAGCCCATATGACATCCTTACGCTTGACACTAAACGATACGCTTAATTATAAAAGGAAGTCGGTTGCTCCTGAGACTTACGATGAGGATGTAGAAGGAGGTCGAAGTTTAAAGCGGTCAAGGATTTTCCCTTCTAGGCTGGGGTTATAAAAATATTATATAAAAATATATCACATGAATCACACGAAACGCTAATGGCAGAATCATTCTATTGCAGCTTGATACCTCATCGTCTATCATGAATCATAATAAACAGCACTGTCATCGATCGGTATTGTCATCAACATCATAACCATCATTAACATACATATCATCATGATCTATAGACCTAGTCTATAACATCATCATATCAACATCCATCATCATCATCATCACCATCACCATCACCATCACCATCACCATCACCATCACCATCACCATCATCATCATTATTATTATTATTATCATTGTTTTTATTATCATTATTATTAACATTACTAAAACTATTATTATTATTATTATTATTATTATTATTATCGCCACCATGTTTCCATAAACGCAGAAAAACCCTTGAATTTAAAAAAAACAAACCCAAAGTGGCTTAATTATAATATATTTTTATATATTTTTTATATATAATATATCGAATAAAGGACATGATAATAAATCATGTAGCATAGCTCTCAAAGATATAAAACTTATACTTACATATATATATATATAAACTATATACAAAACTATATATGTATGTATGTATGTATACGTATATGCATGTGTGTATATATATTTATGTCAGGCCTGATTTATGTATATGTATATATATGTATATGTATGTATATATATATATATATATATGTATATATATGTGTATATATATGTATATATATGTATAAATATATATGCATATATATGTATGTATATATATGTGTATATATGTATATATATATATATACGTCATATATTGGCCTTATACAGCATAAATACTGTTATTAAAATAGTTGAATGAATAAAAATATACAAAATATGCAGGTATCGTATAACATAATAAATGGTGTCTGCGACGTCCTCGATGTGTGCATTTTAGCTTTATAGTTTTGTTTATACAGTAATTGAAAACAAGGCTTTAACGTTAATGACACATATCAAGACTGAGATGTGTTGCCTATTGCCTTCTGTATTATCATTAAAATGTACTGTTTCCTTGTTTAAGTAGTGATTTTACATTGTAATTCTAGTTTATTTGTCACGAAAATCACTACATTTTATGAATATTCATTATTTTTTCATCATGTATTACCTTCATTATAATATCATATGCATGGTTATGGTGGTGATGATGACGACGACGATGATGATGACGATAATGATGATAATGTATAAAAGCCGATTCAATATTTATCGCATGTATTTTTGCTTTTGTTTTTATTAAATTTATTTTATTTACAGGCGGAGTATTTTCAGCAGTTGAGGTTCGGTGTTCTTTGCCATAAAAAGCACAGTTTCAGTACATTTTCCCAGTCGATAAAGTCGCATATTGAAGACGAATCAAACTTAATTTTTTGTATGACTTAGTTGCTATGGAGTCGCCAAAGAACATTAACAACGTTTTTCCTGAGGCCATGATGACAGCATGCGTCTGCAAGCTCTGTTTTAAAAAATTCGATGATAATGCGCACATAGCTACTGTAATACCAAAATGTGGGCACACGTTTTGTGAACAGTGTATAGACCGACTTACTGACGAGGAAACACAATTGATCGCCTGCCCCGACTGTGTCAACACCCATACGTATGTCGACATGCAGACGATGTGGAATCAACCGATTGACGGCCATGCTACGGACACATGCAACGTGCACGATGAACAGTTAATTACAGAATATTGCAAAACTTGTCGAGAGGGGATTTGTAAAACGTGTGCAGACAATTTGCATTCGAGTGGCTCACACAACGTGACGAACCTTCAGGATTTCGAAGAGAGGATACGATGCGAGACCATAACAAAATTGGATAGAATGCAAGTGGAGAAGGAACGTCTGATAAATGTACATCGTTCCGTGTCATCGTCACTGGAGACGTTAAAAAGTGCTACTGAGGCAGACATAAGGGCGATCAAAGATGCCTTTTGTGATTGCCGAAAGTGGTTGAAAGACTATGAAGATAAATTAGTTTCAGAAGTGATATCTGCTTCCGCTTTGCCTGTAACTGAACTCACGCATGTGCAGAAGGAATTAAAACTCAAAATCGATACCATAGAATGCCATGAAATAGAAGCCGACGAGGCGTTTCATTCTAAAACACCTTTGATTTGTGCAAAATTGTGCCATTATCTTTCTGATTCAATGTCCGAGATTGAACAGAACTCTGAAAAGACACTGGAGCTACCTGAGGCAGCATCATACAAACAGTATATCGTTCGCAAAAACCTCATGGACAGTCTCCAAACAGTTAGTATGAACTCAACACTTGAATTCGATACTAAGACAGCTCCCAGTCGGTGTACTGTACACATTGGACCAGCATTCGTCGAAGAAAAATGTTTAATTTCTATACAAGCCACTGATTATATGGGACGCATGAACCACAGTGGAGGCGATGTTGTCAGGGCCGTTTTGATTACCCCTGACCAAACATCTGCCGAGGCGACAGTCTCCGACATGGATAACGGTTGTTACAAAGTGATTTTCAAGCCGACCTGTGATGGAGAATACATATTGCATCTATATGTTTTCGAAGAGGAACTGCCAGATAGTCCATATACAATTTCTACCACTAAAATCGACATGGTATCTCGAAGTCAAGCCTGGGTAGGAGGTCGTTGCAAGGTTAATATTAAAGCATCATCAACAGGTTCCAATTACCTTACTTTGAAAGATATCAGCGCTAAAATTCTAACACCAGACGGCGAGTATGCCGATCTTAAAGTCGACGGTAGCAAGAATTCATTCAACGTGACCTTTTACACTAAGAAGCAGGGTAGACATAGAATCATTTTATCGGTCCACGGTCAGAAAATCGAAAAACCTTTTGATATTTCTATTGCTGATCATCTTCAGATTGGTGGGGAAGGGAGTCACTTAACAGGATCTTCATCATTCTCTGATTTAGTGATGGTGACAGAGACTGGAGAACTTCTGGTTGCGGACACCGAAGAAAACAAACGGTTACAAAGATTCAGTTTGCACGGTAAACACCTAGGTGATATCGAAATTCCTGGAATTGACACCGGCCCAACAAGAATTGCCTACGATAGCTTCCTAAAACGCATTGTTCTACTATTTTACGAATCGGGATTTTTACAAATTCTGCTCATGAATGGACAACTTATGAAGCGGTTTAAGGTCAGACGAAAAGGTTCTTCTGATCCTCGAGGTCTAGCTACGTGCAGCAGGGGACGTATATACGTCTCCGATTATTTAAACCACGTGGTGTACACTTTTAAAGGAAGCGATAATGACTGTGGCACTCCGTACCCTGGGTCAGATGTGCTCATGGCTACCATTGGAGGAGAAGGGACGTTACCCGGAAAATTCAAACATCCTTTAGACGTTCGAATTGATATTCGGGACACATTGTACGTTCTTGATAGCGGAAATAATAGGATTCAACACCTTGATAAAGCTGGAAGAAGTTTGCACACAATAATGCTAGATAGACACGCCCGTTGGGTTTCAATAACTGTCCCATTAGATGGTACAGTTATGACTCGTGGATACACTAGGCCTGGCTCCGGTATGTCAGCTGGACAGCAGATAGTCCGACTTCCTATAGACGTTAGGAAAGATGCCATTAAGCAACCGGTTTCTGCTCATCTACCGATTGACGCTCCTTTAAACTTTGTCAGTGGTATTGCATTAACGCATGAAGGGTGTGTCTACCTTTTGGACCACTTGAGTATTTGTATTCGGAAATATCGTTATGATTGGACATCTGTGTTCCAAAAATAAACAAATGACAATGAATTGTTCATCATTCTCTGTATCTCCTAAAATGAAGCAGTTGGCAGCACTGGACACGAAAGTGATGAATTAAAAGATAAAAATCAGATATCAAAATGAAATGAATAGTTAATGAAATAGGTACAGGTATGAAAATCAGTCATAATGTCCACACAAGGCTGCAAGGTTTAAATACAAATGTTTTATTGATGATATTAATAATAATCACAAAAGTACAGTATTAACATTACACGTATAGACAAGCGAAACAAATATAATTTCCATAATTCCATTATTGGTATCGAATGTGTTTTACTTAGGTCTTTACAATGAAGTTTAAATATGGACTTTCCCGATAACACCGCCACTTAGATATTGTTGCTAAGGTTCTAAAAACAAAGACAGTCTTAAGCGAACACGTGCGTTTGTGGAAAAAACGTGTGTTTGTGAGCCAAGCGCGTATTCCTGGCCTGCTTTTGATTGGCCAGTCGTTAAGTTTGATTGACACGTGAGAAAGGTTCATTCAATATTTACAAGATAACAGGGAATTGAGATTTATATTGAAATAAAATCTAAACAATCTTGTATTTTTTCAAATCTATTTCTGATCAATTCGTAGGCTAAAAAAAAAAGGTTCTGATGTGGTCATTAGGGCCTATTGTAAATTATAAAAAGAGTCCCATTTACATAACTTAATTTCCCTTCACAAAATTATTATATAATGAATATACAAATAAGTATATTACTAGCCAAAACCATTGGTCCTAATTCTAGACAAAACCGTACCCTCATTATAGCTTACAAATGGGTTATAGAGTAGTGTTCATTGTTTTACTAAACTTATACGCATATTAGCCATCCATAAATGACGTCATAAGCGATCAGACAGTTAAAAACTCACACAACATTAAAGTATTAACAATAAAACGAAGAATGTAACATAATATATTTACAACTGGCCTTTAATAAATGAGACCTAATTGAATTTTAAACCACGTCATTGTCTATGGTAATATAAACAGTAGCAAATACACGAATATCATCAACTTGCGAATATAGTATAATCCATTAGTTGTCTGGGTGTTCGAAGAACATGAAGTCCTGAAGGATCAAATAAAATGAGAAAACAAACATGTTGAGAATTTCCCGAAACTAGGGAGGTATTATACTGTAGGCCAAGCAATCTACCAATGCCACAAGAACATGTTAAGGAAGTATTGACGAATCGGCTATCTGATCCGAATAAAATTAAGTATTTTTTATCATCTTTCAATACTTTTTAAATCGTTGTATTGCATAAGAAAAGAAACAGATATTGATATTGAACTACTCACCACCAAGAAAACTCCACCGATGAGGGCAGCCTTTACCTTAACGTCAAGATCCATTGGAACTAAAATATAAAAAGTCGGCTCATTTATTAAACTTGAATCAAAATTTTGTTTTGTTCATAGCCGTCGGAAGCATTTTGAAACTGGTCCGGCTGTTTGGGAACCGGGGGGGGGGGCGATTTTTTTTTTCCGTACGAAACATTTGCACTTGTAATCAAGAACCTGCCGATTACTATGCCTAATATTAATAACTAGCTCATTTTTACATTCATTTGATGTTTTGCCATTTTGGTAGGTCTTATGGCATCTAGTATGTTAGAACTGCCTATTCTCAGCTCTTCTCTTAATTTGAAAATAACTGTCATTCTTTGATCAGATGAAGAAAAACGAGCTTTTCCTTACTCTTTGTGCTTTTCCCAGAAAGCGTTTTTAGTATGCCTAGGTAATTATGCAAAACCCAGGCCTAACTAAAAAATTAAAATTGTCATAGTATGTAACTCAAGTTAAAGTAACACTTTTCATTACTCGTGCAGCTTAATCAAATATTATGTCATTTTAAACGACCCATTGGTATTAACACGGTAACATCATTATTGTGTTTTTAAAAATTAGACAGCAACGTTCTCTCAGAAGTTGTTCTGCAGACGTTTATCTGTTGATGACCTTTTGACCTCCTGAATTCTGCAATGAGATTTTCGGGTCGATTCAGCCAAGGCGGCCCGAGTGGAGTTTCATGTAAATGTTTCGTACGGAAAAAAAAATCGCAACCGGGGGGGGGGCGCTTAAAACATTTTGTTTTAAAATTGCCACCCCTTTCCACGGATACATGATTTAAAGTTAGTGGGGTCTGAGAGGATATCCACCCCTGTCCTCCACCCTTTTTTGGCACTTTTAAATATCCGGAAATAGATGCTGACAGCCTGAATAGCCGGTACCATTCTCTCTTAGGAGACAGCCACAAGAAAGCGTGGAGATAGTACGGCATAACTCAAGACATAGTTACCAACCGTCTCGCATCGTGCGGGACGGTCCCGCCTTTCAAAGTGATTTTGGTTGAAACACGCATTTTGCAGAAAACAGTAATTGCTTTTATTTAAAATATAAAAACGGTCATGCAGTAACTTGAGTCTTTAAAAGTATTTACGTGAATACTTAATTCACTGGCGCGTTACTAAAATTCGATCAGTATGCCTATGCCTTTTTTTGTTTGTTTAAGTAATGAAATGTTTGTGTACATTATAGTTTGGGTGCTCAAATTAAACGTAATGTACATTAAAACTCAAATTGTACGTGGCGCTATTAAAACCAACTCCTTGAAATCGTTTTAGAACAGCTTAAAGATGCTCAGGTCGTCCTGGACAGTGGCGTATCTATAGGGCTGCTGGGGGGGGGGGCACGCCCTCTTGTTACAGTATTACAATGCATTCTAAGCTCCTTGGTAAAATCTATTTTTATGCACTTTGGAAATTAATTCAGATTCAGATCATTCTTTATTCATTCCCCTTCAATAAATTAACAGGAAAATCTTCCTCCTTGGACTTGGTACCGTAATAAATGTAAGTAACACGTCAATACATTGCATCTTTATTTCATAAGATATTATTTGCAGACCTAGATTATGTTATTTAATAAATATTATTATATCTTTTCCATTCTCACTAGAGGGATGAAATCAACGAAGAATGGTAAATACAGCTGAAATATGAATGAGATATGAAATTGTTCAGAATTATTCAACAAGGTATGTGCTGTTCATTTCATGAGATTTCCGAATAATATACTCCATTTACTTACACTCAACGCTGAAGTTGTTGGCTTTAGTGCATACCTCCTGAAACCACCCCGCCCACTGTTTTGAAATGGTTCCAACGTTCTGCTGAGTCTCGGCGGTGAAGATCTACAAGCAAATACAATGTACCGTACTGTAAATGTACTGACTTTTACAAAATAAACGACTTAGTATTTACAGTGGTTCCTTAAAGCCAACAATAATCACATTTTTTGGTAGAACCTTCGCCGAATACTCACGACGATGCATCGATGGTGAACATGAGAACATCAAGCTTTGTACACACTATGAAACACATGTGACAGATGACTGTGACATGCCCATATTTGTGTGTAATATATGACATCATCATGCCAATAAATAGGAACATCCTACACATTTGCCACACAAAATTTGATAGCGCGGACAGAGTTATAATTATGAATTGTAATGATGATCAGTTTGGTTATATTCTCATAGTATTCTGTCAATTTTGACAGGGTCATGGTCATCGTTAAAATATATTAAAAAAAAATATAAAACATATTACCAATATGTACAATTAAATGTAACAATAACCTGTTTAGGATCAACAACAATTAAATATTGAATTAACACCAAAATCCTGGATGGAGAAATGTAATGGGCTCGCATTTTATAGCGCCTTCCATCAATGCGCTATATATTTCAACCGAAATATTATAACACTATCTTTAAACACTTTCAAATTCAATTATAAAAATCAGTATTTTTAAGCTTTGTTAAATTATTTTTTTATTGTCATTCTATTCGTTACATTTTAAGTTTGATATGGTTGTTTTCTTTTTGTCGTATTAATTGTACAGTAGTTTTTCAAATCTTGTCTTTTTAGCATGATTTTAATCTGTTAAACAGGACCAAGCTGTAGAACAGTTGATCACTG